CAGAGTTCAAGGCTCGCCTGGGCAACATAGTGAGTTCTAGGTCAGCCTGAACTACTTAGTGAGACCCTGCATCAAAAAAAAAAAAAAAAAAAAAAAAAAAGTCAAATACACATAGCCTTGTTTGGGGATGGAAAATAAATTAGAGGTACAAATTGGGAAAGTGCTAACACTAGGTTTCTGTTTAGTATCAATGACCTTCATTATGATGGTAGTTCTTGGGCTGGGGATTTAGCTCAACGGCATAAGCACCTGCCTTGCAAGCAGGCAGTCGTGAGTTCAAAGCCCAGTACCAATTAAAAAAAAAAAAACTATGCAATGATGGTGATTCCTTTTTTTTTTTAAATTAATCGGTACCAGGGATCAAACTCACGACTGCCTGCTTGCAAGGCAGGCTCTTATGCCGCTGAGCTAAATCCCCAGCCCCCTTGATGGTGATTCTTATTGATTTTGTTCTTTTTGACCTGTAATGTTACATTTTGCGGCATCTCACCTAGTGACTTTCCTTTTAGGATTTAGTAGCTGACACCCACTTGGACAGATAAAGCAAAACAATGATAGCTTGAGAACAAGTCAGTTGGTGCCTGGCTGGATTTGTTTTCCATATCAAGAGCTCTTGCCTGTTTCCAAATGTACTGTGTTGATGAAGATTATTTGGAGATTATCCAGCTCAAACTTCTTAGGAAAAAAAATGTTGTTATAATTCAAATCTTTCAGGCTTTTTTTCAATAATTCACTCATGATTTATATCTGGGAATGTATACAATATCAAATTGTATTTGGGGGAGGGGGAAGTCTGGGCAAGAAAACTAAGCTCTGTGTAAGGATCAGTTGTCAGCGTCTTGCTGACTTCCTAAGCCACTCTAGCTTTTTTCCAGGCAACGGTTGATAGATTTATAGCCTTGTAATTTGGGTACCTATTGCTTAGCTTATAGGTGAGTCAGCCATGAAATACATGCATAGAGACCAAAGGCACTAATTACAAAGGCGGAGTTCAGGTGGGGGCAGGTCCTGTGGAGACCCCTGTTTAACAACAGTGGCAAATCTCAGAAGGATCATTTATCACTCAGTGACATTGAAACTCCAACGGCAAAGCTTTCCTACCTAGCTGTGGAGAGCTGCTCAGCTTAGCTCCTGTCATGCGGTCCCATCCTTCAGCTCCAGCTCTGCATGCGGCCCTGAGTCCTAGAGCAGCGATGGAGGGGCAGTGCTGTGACAGGCGGGACAGGCGGGCAGGGAGCTCCGGAGAGGGACCAGTTCTTTTCATTATTTGAGCTGAGTCATTTGTGGTAACTTGATTTTACTTCAGAGGTAACATAGCTGTCAGAAATTACTTTTTATTAATTTATTTTTAAGACTCTACCCACCCCTGTGATATTTTTGCTCCAGATTACCTGTCCGTCTCTCCAAACTCATTTCAAAAACAATTTCCTCCATGGAAACCGGAGCCTTGTTCTTTCAAGCGTGTATTAGCACATTAAATCCAAACAGAAGGTGTCATATTTGGGAGTGAGTTAAAAGTGAGATATTGTTCTGTATCAAACAAAGATATATTCAATAAAGGTTATTTCATAAGGTTTTTTTTTTGTGAATTGTTAAGTGTGGTTCCATTTAGCATTAATAGGAATGAATTATTATGTTCAAGATAGATACCATATTTCCTTCCTATTGTCCTTAAACAGGAAAAAAAAAAAAAAAAAAAAAAAAACCCCACCAGATAGTGGAGAATTTTCTTAAACAAAGTTATACATTCAAGAGCCAGCTAAACCTGGAAAACTGGTTCTTTCTGCCCTTGAATTTAGATGTAGTGTTTATCTCTTTTGTTAACTGTTCCGAATGGTCCATTTCAGGTATGGAAACCTACTTTTAAGCGATGTTGACAACCAAGAAACTCAAAGCCAGATTAATTACCAAATTACAAGCAGGGAGCCATGGTATTGCAAAGAAGTGCAACACAAAATGATGTTTCCCCCCTTTTTAAGACTCACGCCACGCCTCCTTTTAGAAGCTGAGTGGTTAAATGTATCACAGTGTATGCAGTGGGGAAATTCCCCCTTGGGGGTGGACCTGTTTTGTGAAGCCAGTGTCCTATCTGGTGCAGGGAAGACGAAGCCCCGCAGGGGTGCTGAGCATGGTCTCCCGCGGGTTGTAGTAGCAGTGATTCAGAAGTCCCTGTTTAATGCAGGGCAGATCTAGAAATGTGGCCAACGTCTGATTTCGGGGCTCTTGGCTTGGAAAGACTTGGCTCTATCCAAACCAATCGCCTCACCACATTGTCTCCAAAACGTTTCTTCATTGTGCAAAGATTCCATTCTAGATTCACTGACAGAAATTAAGAAGTCATTTATCCCTCTTTCAAGAAATGGTTGTTGAGTGCATATAAATCCTGAATACTGTGTGAGGTGAGAGAGAAAGAAATAAAATCAATTCCTACTACGGTAGTGTAGGAGGATTTGCTTTGGGTAAATTTATAGGATGTCCTAGAAATTCATGGCAGCTTTTTCTAAGTACATACATACTTACATAATTCGTGAACATGGCTTAAGACACAAACCTTGTCGAAGGCTTATACTGATATCATCACAACTGTGTCCTCCCTACTCATCAGGAGCCTCCACATTTAACCATTTCCACTTTTAGTTCTTTTGGCAGCAACACCTGCATTTCTAAGAAGGTGCTTAGTATGAATTCTAGATTCCGGTACTTTATTCTGTTATGGAAGATGTGAATTTAGCTCATCAATCACCCCCTCTTTCTTTTTCTTTGTATTATAAACATAACACTATTTTCAGTTGTTCTGATGGTTACTTCTGTAACTCCGAATAATACACTTAACCCTCTGTTTTTCAATTGTCTACAGACGTAATCTCTTGGCCATCCACTTAGTGAGATGAGGATATTGATATTCTCCTCCTTCCTGCCACATTTTTATACCAACTTCACCTTGCAGCTTCTCTCAGATGCAATTTTACTTTCACAATGTCAGGGTTGATATTATTTGCACTGGCCTGTAATATAATTATTCTCAAAAGTCATTTAAAATGATCCACTGTAGGATTTTCTGAGGACTTATGTCGAGCTCAGTGAATCATTATTTCTGGAAAGAGCCCCTCTTTGAAAATTGGAGCAGTATTCTGGCCTTTCTCCTGTAGACTGTGTCTCCTTAAAGGTAATTGATGATGGTTCTGAGCTCAAACGGAGAAGTCCTTTTATTACCTTGCATTAGAACGTGTCTGGCTTAGAGATTGGAGTTAGTGTTGATTGATGATCTCTTACTGTCTTTCCAACCAACTACTCTTCTTAACCCTTATTTTCCTTCTGATATTTTTGTCTCCCGTCCACTCTTAAGTCTGTCCTTGATGGAGAAGAATATTGCCACCTTCTTTTACCATATTGTTTATTTATTTAGTAATGTGGGTTGAACCCAGGGCCTCGCCACCAAGGACACTACCCTTGCTGCATCCCAAGCTCTTCCTCCACTCTTATCATCCATAATACTATGTGTGTTCCCAAGGACCACCCTCTCTTTGGTTTCTAAGATGACTATTTTGTCTGAATATGACTTCTTATATTCTTTACCACTGTCCTCAGTTTTTGCCTGTAAGTGAAAGCTCAGATTACTTGTATGTCAATAATAAAAAATTATAATTTAAATTTTTTATCTTGCTGGATTCATGCCTTGAAAATAATAATGCTTTTTAAAAAAATGTGCTTTTTGATGCCCAAAGTATTTTTCTTATATGATCTCACATAAGTGTTCAACACTTGACTCCAGAGAGGTCAAATATCTTGATTCAGGTCGCAGTTACTATGTGATCAAACCAACCCAGCTCTTCAGAATGAGGCCCTCTTCCCTTCCACTCAAGCATGCTGTGGCCTAAGTTCTCATCAGCATTAACTTTATTGTAAGTAATCTAAATCTAAACCACACTTGTGTAATATCGACCTATTTGTTTTGTTCTATCTTCAGCTGAGGTGAAACTCAGTGACCCCCAAATTAAGAGTATATTACAAAACAAGAGGTTGACTTTATATAGAATTTGGAATCATAAGGAATTCAGGAGAAAGCATTGAAATAAACCAATGAACTTCAGAACAGACTTGAATCACGCGATCACACTTCTCATTTGCGAATAAACTGTGTTCCTGTGACTAAGTGACTATGATAGCCTTCATTGTCCCCTCTTCCAATTCCACCCCACACGAGAAATCTCTTCAACCTCAAGTAGAAAACTATAACAAAGAACAATAAAGTGCAAATTGGCTGATCTCGGGTGTCATAAGGTCCAGATGAAACATCAGACACACTTGGTATTTCTGTTCTCAGATCACCCATGTAACACGTGCTTTTGACCTTGTCTTCAATGCTATGCTCTGTTTTGGGCTGAGTTCCAAGAACCAGGTGTGCGAACCCAAGCGTGAACTGGGACTCTCATCTGAGAGAAGAAGTTGTAGGAGTCAAGATCAGTATTGTAGTCAAGACCCAGCTGGGTGTGCTACAAGCAGCTGATATGTTGAAGGAGACAAACACCAACACTGCACCAGCTAGGCTTGGGAAGCAGAGGTCCCTTAACCGGAGGCAGGAGAAAAATCCTGACTGAATTGTTTTAGATCTTGAGGGGCGTATGTGTATTTCCTTTTCATCAGGAGAGAGCCTCAATTTACCCTTGTAATACAAACAATAGCCTAGTTGTTCTAAAGAGCTAGAGTCTTCCTTTGGTTTGATTGGCGATGGAGGAAACTATCGCTTCTGGGTGATGTCCTTAGCACCTTATTTGTGGATAATTCTTCACTTTGCAGGTGGTTTTACATCGCTTTTAGGAGAGCAGGTTTTTATGTTACCTGAATGTGCAATAGATAGATTACCCATGATCCCTGTGCTTGTTCAAAATGTAATTTTTCTCTTTAGAAATTTCACAGTCCCTGGATTCGATTGGATTGGAGGCAGAGAGTCACCCTTTGAAAGTGTGATTAAGTACTGTGCATATTTTGCTTCTTTTTAGCGTTTTGGTGCATCTCCTCAGCTGAAGGTCTCCATATCTAAAGGAATCCTCTAATCAGGTGTATTTTTAAATGACCAGTCAGATCTGCTGGGTAAGTGTGCTTTAGGTTAACCATTTTACAGAGTAGTTATCTTAATCTTCGACAAAACAACCTCTCTGTCCTACATTCCAAAATATACTAAAATTGGATAGCCTACACTTCTCCACATTGGCTTAGAAACATTATAGATACTGTATATTGTTAAGTTTGAAGTGCAAGACTGAAAATTTTCAGCTTACAGTTTGATCAGCAAGTCTTAATTTTTGCTTGAAGAAATATATATATATATATATATATATATTTGGGTATATACTTACTATATATGTATTCTTTTATATATATAAATACACATATATAATTTATCTTTTCTAAAATCAACACCCCTATACTTGATTAATTAGCATGGTGGGGGTTTTTTGGTTTGTTTTGTATAGGGGATCAAACTCATGACCTCATGCTTACCAGGTAGGTGCTTGTGTCGCTGAGTTAAATCCCCAGCATGGTGTTTTTTAAAGGTGACTAGGAAATTGTTTTTTGTTAGTTTCTATTTAATGTAGTTTCTTGAATGAATATTTACTTATTTTGAGATTCAAGATCTGCCCATTTTTTATTGTGAGTCCAAGTGAGAATTCAGTGTTTTGTGTGTGTGTGAGTGTGTGTGTGTGTGTGTGTGTGTGTGTGTGTGTGTGGTCCCCCTTGCTTTCCTGTAGCACCCTTATTCATTATTATTCACTTGGCTCCTCTTACAATATGCAGAGAAAAAAAACATTAATAGATCACTTAAAACATTTTACTAGAAGAAAGAGAACAAATTAGCCCACTTGAATCACTAGCTTTGCAGAACAGAATGAGAAGATATATTTAATCTTTCATCAAAGACTTTATTTGAAATTACTAATATACAGTTCCACTCAGAACAGTGCTAAATGAGTTATTAGAACATTTAAACAAGATCATCATTGTTTTTATTAGCAGCATTATTCCTTCCTTCTTTTGTTAGCAAAAACACCCTGCAGTGCGCGCAGATCTGTTTAATTGCAATGCTTTTACAGTTTCCCTCAAATGTAGTTGACTTATTTTATAAATATTTCAAGTACGTAATTGCTATTTTGCTTTAATGAAAATCACAAAATGTATTTAGATAATCTAAGGGGTTAGAATAAATTTGCTTCTGTGTAGGATTTATAGAAGTAGTAAGTAAGATTTTTTGACTTTTTTGACCAGGGTCCTGGGGGACAGCTTTTCTCCTTTAAGATCTGCACCTCTCAACTTTGCAGTGAAAAGCTGTGCCAGCACCTAGACTTGGGCTTCAAGCCTAGTTCTTTACTTAGTTGGGTGACCTTAGGCTCAGCTGTCTCTGGGTCTGGAATATTTTGTAGAATTTATTATTATACTGACTTTGCCAGGCTGATATGAAAATAAGTAGGTAATATTAAACATATAACTGAATCCCAGGCCAATAGTAAGTACCCAGTAAATGTTAGTTTATTTTTCTTGTTGGCTCCTTTTGATTGATAAGAGAGGTTTGCCAAGGAGATTCTTGAAGTTCTGATCTCTGTTTTTCAGTAGCAATCATCTGCTTTTCTTTATTATTGGGGCTAGGAATCCCCTGATTTAATTTACATCTCTCCTTTCTGTGCAAAACAGTATCAACCACAACCACCCTTTCTTTGTGGTTCAACAGTGGTCACAACAGCAAAAATGAAATTATTGCATTTATCTAGAATTGGGCAAAATAGAATCCAAGGTTTGGCTAATGGTGCTGGAAGTTTGCATGAGGTGGGCTGGCTAGGAAACTAAAAAACTAGGTGTCTAGGCCTAGACGTTATCTGAGGTCAAAGGGGTACGTGGTAGCCCAGGAGACCAGAGGGCACAGTGCTACAGATTAGACCAGGGGGGAGCTAAATGCATCTACAAAGGATCTGTCCCAAAGCCAATGATTGGTACTTATTCCTAGAAAATAACTGGTGCTGGGGATATAGCTCAGCAGTAGAACGCCTGCTTAGCATGTGTGAGACCCTGGGTTTAACCCTCAGCACTATTAAAACCAAACCAAAATAGAACAAAACCAAACTCTAGGAAATTAGCCATGCTTTGATCACTTAACCCTGCAACTCTGCACCCACACAATGCTCACTTACATTTTGAAAAGAAACCAGTTATTTCAGTTAGTGACCATTGGGTAACTTCCTATATAAGCACATCTTTCTTAAGTCTTGGTGCTGGAGAAGATAAGTTGGTACAATCTCATGTGGGTTTTGCAAGATGCCGTCCCCATGGAGGCACAATAGGACTGTGAAGTGACTGGGTGGCCATCGACTTGAGGGATGTACAGTTTCCCTAGAACTGTCACCCAGAGAATTAGCAGAATTTACTCAACTCGGTTGCTATTTGTCCCGTGTTATTTCTCTATGCCAATTTTTAGCTCACTTTGGAGGTCGAATCTTGACTGTCTTTCAGTTATTTCTGAGGCCTGGAGGAACCAAACAATGGCCTGGGAATTTCTACTGATTTACCATGAGCTAGTAAGGTCACTAAGCCTTCCTGGGTACATATAACTTTTCTCATAGCCCAGAGAAGTCTTTCCTCCAAAATAAGTAATCAGTATGGGACAATTTTTTTGACAAGGGAAAATTTCTTTAGGATGGGTTCTTTTTATATCTGTTAGATGACAGATATGTCATCTGTTGATGACAGCTATGCTCCCTAACGTCATCATCATGGTCAGAAATATCCTTGTAATCTTCATTGACAAGAAACATCTTTTAAATTTTATCCAAAGTTTCGTGCAAAGGAAAGGAAAGACATGATCTGAATAGAACTTTTTGAGGGCAGTGATGACGTCTTAGCTGACTTGTTATTCCTAGAGTCTAGCACAGTGCCTGTCATGGAGTAGAAACACACTAACTGTGAAATATTAATTCCTGAAATGTGAGTTTGTATTATAAAGACAGATTGGTGAAAAGGTTGCAGCAGCCTTCTGCATTCCATTGTTTTCCTTTCTTTTTCTTGTAGGTCAAATTACCTTCCCTGCACTGTCATCCCACACCTAAAAAAAGAACGCTATGTTTCCTCAGCTTGAGAAGTAAGTGTTAGTGTCTCAGGGCTGTTACTTGGATTTGGGAAGGCGAGCTCAGGATGGAATGGTGTTGCATTGTTGGGATTTGCTTGTCTTGGAATTCCTCTTTCTGATACTAGAAATAGATCAGGATCCAGCACTTGTTCTTTTCTTTGCCTGGAACACCCACTGAAGCCAGGGGGAGCTGGGGTTGGAGTGTGGGAACAGTTGAATGAAGGCCTTTGTCTGCTAATTTGAGTTTCATTCTGTCATTTCACTCCAAAGGTGATTCAGAAAAATGAGTTCGTTTATAAATGTATTAATAGCGTATTTCTCTTCTAATCATAATGATTAAGCTGTCGGTACTGCCAGATGCCTGCAGCTTCCATGACAAAGCCCTAAACAGTTTTGCTTTACCATTTGACTACACTGAGATGGTCTGATTGACTATGCCAGAGGAGCTGCTGCTATTTCCTTCTTCTCCCAGTTGATTTAAATTTAAACTGAAAGCAGAGAGTAAAAAATATTCTAAGCTATAAAGTCACTCTTCAGTTAAGGAACAATAACTCAGCTTTACTTTCATTAGAAGATTCCCAAAGACAGAGTTTATGGTCAAAATGTCACAGTTGCTTCTTTCCACATTTTGTTTTTTTCCATCCAGAGTGTCTCGTGATCCAGTCATTCATCGCTGCCTGGAGTTCTCGAGTACTTTCATACTCTCTACTGTATTTCCTGCAAAATTGTCCTGAATCTCTGCAGATGAGATCCACTTCATTCCCAGTATTCCAGTTCACTCCTGGCCTCGTCACAGGGCAGAGAGGAGAGGAGACCCAGAGAAAGACTGCCCAGATTTGAGTCATAGTGCTATCATTTACTAGCTACAGGACCTTGGGCAAGTAGCCAACCTCACAAAGCCTTTGTTTCTTCATATGAGAATTAAAATCACAGTAGCATCTATCTCCTAGGTTGGTGATGAAAACTGAAATAATCCTGAGACACTAAAAGTCCCCAGTCAATGGTAGTTTTATTGTAAGAAAGAGAAAAGCAATCTCCCAACATCTAGAACTGGGCTGACCCAGCATAGTCTTGATGCTCTCCTGTTGAAGCAAACATTTTCATGAAACATTGCCATTAACAAGGCCACTCTGTGGTAATAAAGATTAAGAAAGACACAAGACCACTGAAAATCATGTTTGAACCAACATAAAATAGGGACATTGTCCATTTCAAAAAATGACCAGGCTTCCCTTTATTTTGGTTAGTAAAAGTAACTCCTGATTTTTTTTTTTGTGATACTAATCTCTCAGCATAACTCCTGATTCTTTACCAACTACATTTTCCCTCTTTCTAGATAAGAGTTATTAAGTCATAGAAATAATCCCATTTCCTGATAGCCTCCAATCCAGACCAAACCCATGTCCCTAAATCTGCTCCCAAGTCATCTTCCAGAGCTCACGTTGCATAAGAAGTCCTTTCAAACACTTTCTCATTGACACAGCCCATGGTTCCTCTCTGTAACACATAATAAACCCAACTGTTCAATTACAGGTCTATTTCTGATTGTCCCTAGACGGAGAACATTGACAATTATTCCTTTCCATAACCAAGAATCACAGGATTTAGTCATATAACATAAAGCAATACAAAGGATGCTTTGTGACTTTGGATATGTTACTTGATATCTCTGTTGATTTTCCCATTTATTAAAATTAGGAAATTTGGCTCATGAATTCCATAGTTCTTTTCCGCTTCCCCATGCTGTGAGTCACTGTTGCAGACACTTAGCAACTTGACGAGTGCCATGGAACAGGACTAATGAACACATGCATGTTCTCAGATTCTCATTTCCTAACCCACCAAAAAGAAGCCTGTAATGACCAACTTAATTTTTCCTCTTCTTTTACCTCTTGATGAGGAGGAGCTTGGTCTTCATGGGACACAGGGTGTATGTGAGAGTGGAGAAGGGGGAGGAAGAAAGAAGACCACACAGCCTGGGGGTGGCAAGGAGATTTTCTGGGGAAGTATAGCAGATAGAGAAGGACATTAAGACAGAGGGAAGCAGATGAGAGAAAAGAAGAAAGTATTATGTAGATCACGGGTTTGCATTCCTTTGTTGCTTTGGGAAAGGACAAGGAAGTAACAGGATGATTGTTGAGCAACTTGAATCGTTGAACTGTACTTCCTGAAAGGAGCACTAAGGCAAAATTGCCACACGTGGGCCTCCGAGTTGATCAGGATTTGGGTAATGTGTTTCCTTTTTTTCGTTTTTCTTTTCTGAGTCAAGGTCTCTATATAGCCAAGCTGACCTTGAACTCATAGTGATACTCCTGGTGTTTCTTACGCAGTCCAAAAATCCACAGAAGAAAGGGGATTCTTTATCTTGGAAGGCTGTCTTTTTAGAGTTAATACTGAGAATAAGCAGCTTTTTCTTAAACATTTCCATCAGGATTTAGCCGTACACAGCTGCTCCTGATGTCCAATATAAGGACTCACAGGGTTGAGCCTCTGTGTGTGGGAATGAGAATATGCTTAAGTGGGGCTGGGAGAAGGGACGGAAATGAGTGTCATTAGTTCAAAGGTTCTGGAGGCTTAGTTAATTAATTTGCATAGACACCCAATCTACGCAAATTGTTAGAAACCAATCTTTGCCAGATGCCAAAAGGAGGGACACCAAGCACTGTGGCACATCTGTGACTGTGGAGCTACCCTGAATGTCAGCTTTCCAGGGCCATAACAAGGCCATTCCTTGGGAACTGGGATTACGTAGTATTCCTCTTCCTTCATAGCTTCAATCTTTTTGCATTCTGTTACAGATCAAGGACTTCTTCCTGCCACGATCTTTGTACACTAGATGGCTGCTGAATAATGGGGTCCTAGACCTGGAGGGGATCTTTAGGTACCATCAAGTAGTCCACTGCTGCCTAGCAAGTCTCATTCAGATGGTCTGTCCAGATCATCCCCAGACAGGTAATCTTTACTGTGTGTTATTTGAATTTCTTTCCTCTTACACAGTTTCTTTTTATATTCTTACATACTATTATGCAATTAAAAGAGAGGTTCAGCTGCCCCAGTTTTGCAGGGCAATTATGAGTGTATCATAGAATGTAAAATTGCAGAGCTCCTGATATCAACAGAAACCACAGTCTGGGGTGGGGGTAGATTACTGCTTTGTGTTGGAAAATTCAAATAAAAAAATTTCCAGCAAACATGGGCATAAAGTGAGAGTTCAGTGTTTAGAGGAGTCCCTCAAACTGCTCTTAGGGATATAAGAAAATTGGCTTATCTCAGGCTTAGAGAAAAAGTTGCCATTTTTTAAAAATATCCCGTTGGGTATTCATAGATGTAGTGTAATTCTGATCTTTGGAGGGGTTACTTATATTTATTTTTCTCTTATATATTTTCTCTTATTTTTCTCATTTATTTTCTCTTATTCTATTCAGATATGTGTACAGGTCTTGATCGAACTAAAGATTTAGGAAATGGAATTCATTTTCTCATGTACATATATTGCCCTTTGCTGCTATATCTGGCTTAGAGGATGTAACCTGGATGCTACTGGATCCTAAGCTCCTGAGCTAGGGTGAACTGTAGATGACTGGTTCAGATTCTCCACTCACATTCTGGATCCTGACCCTTGGCTCTGTACTGCAAGACCCATACACATATGGTAAGTATATTTGTTGTCATTAAATCTTTTTGTTTCAAAGTACTAGCCAGTACATGGTCACTATAGTACATTTATAAAACATAGAAATACAACAGAAGAGGAAAAATTAATTCCACCTAAGGACAAAACCCATTTGAGGAGTATTTCCTCCTGCTCTGTATTTCCATGTAACATCGCTTATTTCACAGAGTATAATCTTGCATCCTACTTTCTTTTACTTACGATTATGACAAGCATTTTTCCAATTTATAATGAACTTTTTTTGTTAAAATCACCTGTCTGATGGTTGTGTAACAGTCCATGGGGCAGGCCTCCATGAGTGGAGGAGACAACATAGTACAAAGTTTATATTATGTTCCCAAATTAGTTAGGCAAGATCATAAAATTTTATGGACAGCAAGGTGTCCTGAGAGAGTGGCAGCAGGTGCAGGGCATCTCAGCCTGCTTCTCCGGTTCTGTGCCCATCCGATGGGTCACATGCTGTGAGCTGTGCTCTTCACAGTAGGTCTGTGGATCTGGAAAGGTCCTTTTGCCACTCCACACATTGTTCTCAGAAGAATTTACAACTACAAACTGTGCACTTTTGTTGAAGATATTTATTACAATATTGAACTTTCCTGGAGCCAAATGCAGCAAGGAATAATATTCTTGTCTTGGAGGATATGGCAGGTATCAATTTTTTGCCTTGAAGCTACAAATTTATTCTGCATTGCTTGCTCCTAGAAAATGGATATGGGCCTTTTAAGTAGTTTTTCTTTGTCAGATGGCATCATGGAAAGCTTTTTCGGTGAAGGGCACTTGAGAGACACTGCAAAAGCGTTTTGCTTCCTAATCTAGCTTGCTTCCTAGGCAGGTTCTTTAGTGTATTGGCTTCTCTAGCACCTGGCACCCACCCTGCATGGCAGTTAGAGGCACTCAGTCATCAGCAGAGTAGTCTTTTTCTTTTTTTTTTTGGTATTTTGTATTTTTACCGGTACCAGGGATCAAACTCATGACAACACGCTTGCAAGGCAGGTGCTTATGCCACTGAGCTAAATCCCCAGCCCCAAGCAGAGTAGTCTTTCACCTTTTCTTGGGCAAATATTCTGGAACAACCTGGTCCCAGGGTATAGGACTCCAGTCTCAAGGTACCATGAGTTTGAAGAGAGAGACAGATCCAAAGTTGCACAGAGTATAATTTATTGGGAATGTGCTGACGGAAATGTGGTCCAGCAAGACTAGTGGATCCCCACAGTTGATGTCAGAAGGAGTGGACTTATGTAGTGGTTAGGACAAAGTGGTTTCATCTAAGCTGGAATGTACCTCACTTATCTCAAGCTAATATCAAGGATGTCAGGCAAATTTCCTGCATTGATGGTACCAGCGTCTGGGTCATAAAACTCCACATTCTACTCTCCTGGTTTTGTTAATTTGTAATAGGCTGGGAAACTAACCAGGAAAGGTTACTCAGGGGAAACAGGCCAGGGAGGGCTATTTGGGGAGTTACTTGGAGTGATTATGATTGGGCAAGGTGGACTCCTACAGTGATTTTATATCTGCAGGGAGACATTTCTCTGTGCACAGCTTTCCAGACACCTTAAAGCATGAATTTCCATCAAGTTTCCTACAAGTTTGCTTAGCGCAATGTGGATTGATAACTAGTGGTCAACCTGTAACACCCAGCTAAACTGAATAAGCGTGGTGCTAGGTGTGAAGGGCCCACCTGAGGATTGCTGCCAACAACATAGAAAGGAGAACTAGAGGGGAAGATGGTGTGCTGTTCAGTTTCCTGGAAGAGCTTGTTATTCTGGCTTTCCTGATATAGACTAGGCTGTTTCCATTGTTGGAGGAGCTCAGGACCTCACTGTTGCTGAGGATGGCTGTCACATTTTTTGGGGGAGCTCTGGTCCTTACTTTGAGTGTCACTTCCTGGTTCTAGTGCAAATCCTTCAGCCTGATGGCACAGATCTGACATCCCACTGGTGCAGAATTTCTAGCTTCTGCCATGGTCCTTTGAGTCTTCCTAGTGCAGATACTGGGTACAAACTTGCATGAGACATTGTCCTGACCTCTAGGCCTCCAGCTGGACTCATGGAGGACATTGTTATGGATTACAGGTATTTAACTGGACTCATGCAGGACATTGCCCTGGGTGGGATCCAGGCCCTAGGAGCTGAGATTCTTTGGGTCTTTAGTGTGTGGACAGTTTTCCTGTACTCTTTGGGTGACTATTATAAAATCCTATGTGTTATGTGTCCTGTATTAAATTGTTTCCCTTGTAGGCCCTGACTACAATACATAATACTATGGGGATTTCTCTGTCACTTACTAGGCCATGCCTGTGACCTGCCCAGAAAGGTCTGGATTCCAGCCCTGGACTTGGGAGAGGCACAGTGTCCTTGTTTGGGGATTGTCAGAGCCCAGGGTAGGGTGTGGTGGTTGGGTGATGAATAACTTTCCTTTTCCCTGGGTCTGTTAGAGTTTTCTTTTTTCTTTTTTGTCACTGATGTCTTGTTACTCCAGTCTCCAGTTATAGTTAATGGTTCTTTATGTTAAACATTCCTGCTCAAATCATCATGTGTCTTCTTTCTCCTGACTTGACCCAGACTGATAAAGAGAAGGAAAGTAGAGTGAAATCCCACATATGTCAGGCTGAAGCTTTCTGGCACGAAGGGAAAGTCATTTTACTCTGAAGCTTATGTCTTGAGCCCCAGGTTTTCACATCTGCAAAACAGTGTTAATAATGGTACATGGCTCATAAGGTTTTTGTGAGGCTAAAAGAATGCTTATAAATTATTTGAGATAGTGCTTGACACACACTAAATATGCAGTAAGTATTATCTGTCATTGTAATTTAATCTGGGTGGCTCTAACAATGAGTTTGGTTGCATGATCCCAAATGCAAATCCAGGGACAAGAGCATGCACTGTTTTTTTACTTAGTTATTTTGTTTATTTATTTTTTGAGGAAAAAACATGTATTTAGCTCATAGTTTACAGAGGTTTCAGTCTGTAATTTGTTTGCTACAATGCAGGATGACATGGCCAAGGAGCAACAGTTGATGATAGTGGAAAACAGCAATATTTTACTATATTCCTTCTTTTGTGTGTGTGTGTGTGTGTGTGTGTGTGTGTGTGTGTGTGTGTACGTGAGTGTGTTGCTGAGGAGCAAACTCAGAGCCTTGTGCATCCTGGGCAAGTGCTCTAACACTGAGCTAAACCCCAACATAATAGAGAACGGCAAAATGATGTAAATAAAACCCATTTATTTACTCTGGAATTTTACTTATGGGGGACTTTGGAAATTCATTTATCCTTAATGAAGTTCCCCAATTAACAGGAATAGGTTCTAGATCCAATCTGATAAGGAAAATAGAATTAAAAGGTATAGAATAAATCATGTTGGGAATCTCAGGGACTCTGATTTTGCCAAATTCCCAATGACATCTTTCTAACTACTCCTTAACATGTGATGAAACAAACATTTAATTTTGAGGAAATATTAAATCATCTTATTATAGTTATTAAAATATTCCTTGATTCTTAGTTTGTCTCCATCTTGGAGGTTCTCATTCTAAACTTCATTGACTAAATCAAGTTAATTAATATTTATTAAAATGTCAGATCACTTAGAAATTAAATAATTTTGAGACAGAATTTCAGAAAGCTCTCTTATAAGTGCTTGAGGTGCATCAGTGAAAAATATTCTCTGCTCTAAATTACCTTATATCTTACAGGTTTTGGTAGTGAGGAGAGGAGACAGATAAACAATGAGCATAATGCTTAAATAAATTGTATAGCATGTTGGAAAATGGGAATGTGATGGAAAACATAGATGTAGATAGTGAGGACCAGGTGTGCATAGAAGGACTGCATTTTTAAAGAAAGTAGTTACAACAGGGTTCATTGGAGTGACATATTAGCAAAGACTTGAAGGAGAAAAGGCAATTAGTCTGCACCTACATGGGGAGAACTATTCCAGGTATGTAAGGATACAGGTCCCTAAGTTGGGAACATGGTAGGTGTGTTTAAAGGACAGCTAGGACAGTGTAACTGAACAAAATAAGTGAAAGAGGAAAATGGTAGGAGATGAAGACAATGAAATGATACAACCTAGATCGTATTGGACATTTTCAGCCCTTTTCAGGGTGTTGATTTTTACCCTGAATAAAATGAGTAATCACGGATGTTTTTGAGCATTTTACGTTTTGTCAGGATCCTTCTGGCTCTTAAGTGAGGCCGAACTCTGGGGACAGAAGGTAATCTTTGCTACCCCCTTTTTTTTTGTTCCCTTGCCCATAGAAGAGGTAACATGGCAGCTAAAAATGTGGAGGGAATTTTGCAGAACCATGCAGAGGTATGAGCTGGACTGGGGAGGTGCAGGCTGAGGATACTTCAGAAGTGAGTGGTGTTGGTATGATGTGTTAGATGGGAGATACAGCCAGCATGAAGGGGAGTTGATTATATTGAACAAATTAGCAAATTGATTGCACAGACAAGTAAGTAATGAGGATAACAGCAGCTGAGTTTCTAATTTCTGAAAAGAGAATTTACAAACGGAAAGGGGAAAGGCTAGAAAGAACTCTTAAGTGATCTTGGAATTGGAAGCATCAGCATAAAATCTCTCTCTCCCCTCTCTAATTATAGATATATAATTGTGTATGCTTTCATGTACTGTATACATGTACATATCTCATAGTCCTGTCCACAGAGAAGGATAGGAAAATAACACCTGAGTAATAATGAATACAACATTGGTCTCTAAATATCATCTTTAAAAAAAGAAACCAGGGATCCCTGGAGAAATAACTATTGGTTAATTCCAGCATGAGGGCTTGGAAAGTATAAGGTAAACCTGGAACATTTGTGCTGGAAAATAAGAAAATACCCAGTGAATGTCAGAAACATTTCAGAAAGATACAGGATCTTTAGCTGGTTAATCAGGCACAATTTAAGCATAAAAAATGATAACAATGTATTACTTCCCAGTGAGTAAAACTGGGATCAGTGAATCCATGTTTA